ATTATCTATGTGTGAATACATCCACTTCCGCAACTCGAAAATATTTTCCGGACCAGACATTTTTTTGTGTTTGATGAAGCTTATAGCTGATTTTTTTTGTGTGTTTCAAATGAATCACAAATTGTGGTATTTATAGAAATTTTCGAATCTGAGCATTTACTAGGAAATTGCTAGAAAATATAGGTACAAAACACGTTTTTGATTTAAATTTGATATTTTCTATCCAGTTCCTCCTAATTTCGTAGTAACAAATTCATTCCTCCTAATTTTGTAGTAAGACTTTACTAGAACTTTACGCGTAAAGTTTGTTATTACGAGCTTACGAGGAAATTGACTTTTACCACATAGTTTCCTCGAAAGCTTACTACGGTGTTACGAGGAAAACTGTTTCTCGTAGCTGTACGAGGACCGTACGAAGAAACAAGTTTTCCTCGTAAAACCGAAATATGTTCATAGTAAATTTCCGAGCAATTGTTTTTCTAGTAAAGTTTCCTAGTAACTTTTTAATTTTCTTGTAGTGTCAGTCATACTATGAAAACCATATTTAACAGTACTCAATGTAATAAAGATCTTTGTAATTATTTTCTGTATAAATAAATTTCTATATTCTATTTTTTAAGATTTGAAACCTACGACCTCTTGATATGAATAAACTCTTAATCAAACATTCAACAATTAGGAGCTTATATAAAAATCATTTTAGTTTGTGAGCCATCAAAGATATAATCATGATGATGGTATACGTATTAGTTTGTGAGAAAATAATACAACTCTACGTTTCTTCGAATGCATAATATTAACTTTTTCAATAAGGGTTTAATATATATAGATATACTATAAGTATGTTTTTAGCAAAATGTTAAAATATGCTTTATTCTTAATTATCACAGTGTTTTACGTACCCGTTCGGCCATAATTCCTTTAATAACTCTTGAGATCTCTATAATATTATTTGAGAAGTCACTTTTTTAGGTGTCGCGCTCACGTTAACTCTCACGCTGGTTAATTACTACGATACCCTTAATGAATTAAAAATATATTTAAATATTTTAATTTTCTTTTTAAAATCTTCCAAATAACAATATAAAAAAAGGAAATATTTCTAAAATTTACAAAACGAAAAATAAGTATATATATAATATGGTTTCATAAAAAAGAAAGTTTACAAAATAGTAATATTTAACTTAAATATATTTTAAATAACATAAATTATACTTTTTAAGTAATTATACTTTATATCTATATCTTCTTAGATGAAAAAAATATTTGTATATAATGTGTTTCCATAAAAAAATTTTATACAAATAATCTTGATATTAGAAAAAGAAATATTTTTTCTTTAAAAAAATAATTTAAACAATAAAATATATATTTTCAAAGTAATTAGTTTTTGTATATATCTGTCTATTTTATTAGATGATTACATAAAATAATTAAGTAACATAAACTGATATATGTTTAATTGAAAAAAAAATTAGAATTAGTATATTTATTTGATTATAATATCTTACCGTTACAGCAAAAAATATAAATTATATTTTACTTATATAATATAATTTCTCAAAATAATCACATTTTTACTGCATAATTTAAGAGATAATAAAAACAAAACTAAAAATAAATTTAATAGTTAACATCTTTTGATCAGATAACTACAATTCTTTTAAAATATCATAACACTATATAATTTAACGAGGGAGATATATTATATTTTAATAGTTAAAATTATATGTTTTCTTAATAACTCTTTTGATGTTTAATTTTCTGTTTTTATGTTTGTGGAATTTAATATAACCATAATCAAAATACTTAAGAAAATCATAATTCTTTATTTTAAAAATTATTTAAAATAAATTTCGGTTTACCATCCAATCAATCTAAGGCATAAATTATTTAAAATTTCTAAAATATTTAATTATTGTAAATATGGATATGTTTTCATAAGCTTCTGAAAATTTTATTATTACTTATGTATGTAATTTAGAATCAGACACTTTAATTTTTATTTTTTTCGTTCTAAGCACAAAAAATATTAAAATACATAATCTTACTAAGATATACTTATATTTCTAAGATAACAACCAACATAAATGTAAGTAAAACAATTAATCAAAAAATTAAGATATTTAGAATAAAAAAGATTATAGTTGAATTCAGAGAAATAGATAGAATACAATATATATATATATATCCAAATGATAAACTAACTAAATATAATATATCTAAAATTATATATAACTAAAATAATATAATATTATTAATATAAATTATATATAAAACTATAAATTAATATAAAAGTTAAAATAAATATCAATCAACTATTATAATATATTTATTTTATAAATGTTTATGCCCGTGCATGAGCACGGGAAACTCACCTAGTAGTAAATATTTTCTAAACATCAAACCGATATTATACCAATGAAAACCCAGTTAAAGTCATGTTATTTTATCATCCAAACAAGAGATCTTGGAGTTCTCTTACATATCTTCGTACACATACTATATACTTTCTAAAACGCATACTGTTAGTTAATTGTATACATACTTTGATCATGATGGGAGGAGCATGGGTTACATGCATATATATAGATAAAGATAATGTAATTAAACACTGCAATAATTATTTACCTAGCTCTGCTGTTGCTTTTTCCCTTTTTGATTAGCTATTGTTGCTTTTCGTCCTCTCCCTATATGCTTAGATCTTTATTATTATGTCGATAATTGCATGCCAACTTCGTTACCAATCCTCTATGTTTGGTCTTTGTAGTGTTAGTAAGTCTATAATCTTTGTAGTGTTATAAGTCTATAAGTTAAGCAGACTAGCAGTTAGTAATAACTAAAAACGTGACTACACATGTTTGAGTGGATACACAACTAGAAACAATAGTAGTATTTAAAAGGTGACATTAAAATCACTTCAGAGAAATTGCATCCACAATCTCAGCGCGGAAAATACCAAACTGAACAAAAATAAGTAGTCACCAAATTATTTCTGTTTATTATATTTATAGGCTTTTTTGGTAAAATATTTTGTTTATAGTTAGATAAATTAAAACTATAAAACCATATGATATCAAATCAATATTTTATCGAGCTTTAATTGACATGTGTTAATTTAAATCTATGGCCACTATATGAAGAACTTGATGGTGGCCAGAAATAGGTAGACAATCACAGGCACAGCATCAACTAAGGAAATATACAATACAAGTTTGAATTTTAAAGAATCAATTTTGAAATTCCAAGTTTTGGGACGAGAAGGTGCATGCGAACCGGTTATGACAAGCACGTGAAACCAGATTTGGCATCACGTGACTAGCACACTTTCCCAATGGCATGTTTCAGCTTTTTTCTTACTAGCCTAAAGCCCCTATCTCTACTCGTAACATGTTCATGTTCCTTCATGCATTTGTTTATTAGTACTAGTATTTCACTTATTTTCGAGCATTGAGCCCCTTTCTCAATGATTTTAAAAGAAAAATCTTCAAAATTTCTACTGGTAACTTTAATGTTTTACATTTCCGATGTTTATCGAAATCCTAGACTATGTTTAAATGCAGATGTGATGTGTTTAATATGTGTAAATAGAAAACCCATTTTGTCAGTAACAAGCAAGTATAACATAACCATATAACTGGAATCTATAGAAAACCCATTTTTTCAGTAGCAAGCAAGTATAACATAATCATATTATTGGACTAACAGTTTATTTACAAGACTTGCAACTAAAGTAAAAGAAACAAATGTTCTTGGAATAGTTATGTCACTCTTTAAGTTTTAAATTAATGATGTATTTAAACACTGCTATCCTCAATAAAAGCTAACTTAAACCTGTCGATTAAACATGAATATTGTTACGGTACAAGATACTACTCTCTCCGTTTCATATTAAATGTCGTTTTAGAGAATTTTTTGCGTTACAAAATAAGTGTCGTTTTCAATTTTCAATACAAAATTTATTAATTTTATTATGTAATTTGTTTTTGTATTGATTAAAATATGGTTAGGTGTATAGGTAACTGTGTTTTATATAGGAAATATGTAATATTAATTGTTTTCTTAATCCGTGTGCACAGCTGTAGAGTGACACTTATAGTGAAACAGAGGAAAACTATTCGTGTTAAATTCAATTAAGTTTTGATTAACACTGTTTTCTGTTATTATCTCAATAAAATAAACAACCTCAATAAAACCAACTAACCTGTCAGTTTATAACATTTCTACCAACCAAACTCGACGAACTTTTTTTACTGTACACTTCTTTTACAATTTGAGGACTATATAGTTCAAAACTTTTTACTTTTCCTTTTTCTCGAAACTCGATAAAGAGTAAAAAGATAAAAGTGAAAGTAATAGGGCAAAAGGGTAAAAAGTGAAAAGTAAGCCAACAAAAAAAAGAAATAATTAAAAGTACACGGTCTTATCCCAACCTCCTACCTTCGCCGACGTCGTTTCAACTCATGTCTCAGTCTTTCCCGGAAAAATTCTACAGAAATTTCAGAAACTTGTTTATTTTTTCCTCGTTCTCTACCACTTTCTTCTTCCCATAGCATTTAATTTTCGCCCCAGATCCCTAGCTTCCTTACACACATCCCTATCCGTTAAATTTCGTAGACAACAAACTTAATTGCAACAAGACGAATCCTTTTTTTTATTTTAAATAATATAAAACCTCTTTTGCTTGCTTTGTGTGTGTGTGTGTCTCTCTCTCCTCTGCTTCCTGTCTGCTACAGTCTCGTTTAAAGAAATCAGCAAACCCATGGATTCTTCTGTCACTCTCTCGCATGCACGAGAGCTCTCTTGTACGTTTAATTTAACCCCTCCTTTTGTTTTCTTCCTCCTCCCATAACGACAAATAATCACTTAAAAACTTCTTTAAAATTTTCTTCAAAAATCCTCTGTTTCTCTCTCTGTTTTTTATTTTTTTTCCGATTTGAAAAAGACCAAAGAGATGTCCTTTCAGGGGAAAGCATGAGACTTGAGAGACGACGGAAGGAATGGGTTGCGGAGGATCCAAAGTCGATGACCAACCGCTTGTGATTCTCTGTAGAGAGAGGAAAGAACTGATCAAAGCGGCGTCGTATCACCGCTCTGCTTTAGCCGCTGCTCACCTCGCTTACTTCCAGTCTCTCTGCGACGTCGGAGAGTCTATTAAGCGTTTCGTCGACGAGGAGTTAGTCGTCGCTGGCTCTAACTCTTCGCCGGACTCGCCGGTTCTTACTCTGCCTTCCGACGAAGGGAAGAAGAATCACAAGATCTCGTCTTCTTCAACCTCTGTTTCACACTCTGTTGTTGAAGAAGAAGAGGGAGATGATGATGGGGAAGGCTCGCATTTGCATTTATCGTCTGGATCTGAGTTCGATGATTCGGGATCGGAATCTGGATCTGATGATTCATCAGGTCATCATATCCACATTGAATCCACCCCTAAAGTGGTAAAGGAACAACCTTTACCGGTAACTTATCCTCCCGGTTACCCGCCAAGTTACCCACCAAATTACCCGCCGGGATATCAACCGGGTTACTCCTCCGGGTACCAGGATCCGGTTGAAGGTTGGGGCTTTATGGGAGAAAACCCGAATCCAAACCCGAACCCGTATCATCAAGGAACGTATTTTATGAAGAAGTCTGCGCCACCGTCTCGTCCGGTAGTGTTTCAGCCGGAGAATCATCAAGTGGAGAATGGTTTTGGATACTCTAATGCTGGTTATTATGGTTACCCTGAGCAACAACGTAGAGCGCCGCCGTCTCCACCGCGGCCTCCTCCGTCTCCTCCTAGGGTTTCCACTTGGGACTTTTTGAATGTGTTTGATACTTATGATTACAATAGAGCTGGAGCTGGTGAAAGTTCTGGGTATTATCCGGCTGCTACTAGTGGAGTTAAGTCTAGTTCAAGCAGTCTTGACTCGAGGGAAGTGAGAGAGAGGGAAGGGATTCCTGAGTTGGAAGATGAAACAGAGCAAGAGACGTTGAAACAGTTGAAGAGGAAAGGCGTTGAGAAGATGAAAGAACATATACCTGAGAACGAGCCTATCAACGAGAGGAAGATCAAGAAGAGAGGAGACTCCGGTGAAGGAACTTCTAGGGAAGTGCCTATGGTAGAGAGCTCTTTTAGTTCGAAGACAGTTTCTTCGTTTACGAGTAGTGAAGAAGGATCTGAGTTTCACCATGTTAATGAAGGAGAGGAGAGGAGTAGCAGTCACGGGCATGAGACTGTTGCGAGGAAGAGCGTTGGAGAAGTAGTAGAGGAAGAGTATGTGAGGAAGAAAGGAGTGAGTTTTGAGTTGGAGGAGAATATAGCAGCGACTTCTTTTGATGTTGAGTCTTCTAAGATAAGTAGCTTGTCTGCATTATCAGTTCATGCAACTAGAGATCTTAGAGAAGTTGTGACGGAGATCAAGAGTGAGTTTGAGGTTGCTTCTTCACATGGTAAGGAAGTGGCTGTGTTGCTTGAGGTTAGCAAGTTACCTTATCAGCAGAAAACCTCTGGCCTTAAAGGTAAATGTTCTCTTTGCGTCTGAGTTTGCTTCCTTATATGAATCACTTGAGACTTACTTTGTTACTTTTTGTTCACTCTAGTTATCTTCTCTCGGATCATGTACCGGGTAGCACCATCCACAGTATCATCACGCTCTCAGCCACAACCACCAATACGGTTAACATCAAGGATACTGAAAATAGCAAAAACATACAATGTTCAGGATGTTCCAGAAGGCTTCACTGCAAACCTCTCATCAACCTTGGAGAAACTCTACGCCTGGGAAAAGAAACTGTACAAGGAAGTCAAGGTATCAACTCTGTTTCTTTGATTTTGAATGGATTTATAATGTCTCTTTGGATCCGGGGCATCTTGTGACGTTTAGTTGGTGGCAGGATGAAGAGAAGCTTCGAGTAATCTATGAAGAAAAATGCAAAACGCTGAAGAAACTAGATAGTCTTGGTGCAGAATCTAGCAAGATTGATACTACTCGTGCTGCCATTAGAAAGCTACTAACCAAACTCGATGTCTGCATAAGATCCGTTGATTCCATTTCAAGTAGGATACATAAACTTAGAGATGAAGAGTTGCAGCCACAACTCACTCAACTGATTCACGGGTAATAAATAAAACCATATTTCATTTTTATTCAGACATTACGTGAAAAATAAACTTATATTCCTTTGTGTAAATACGATTCAGGTTGATAAGAATGTGGAGATCAATGCTAAAGTGCCACCAGAAGCAGTTCCAAGCCATCATGGAGAGCAAAGTACGATCTCTCAGAGCAAACACCGGCGCCTTACAAAGAGACTCAGGTCTTAAAGCGATTCTTGACCTTGAGATGGAGCTAAGAGAATGGTGCATTAGCTTCAACGACTGGGTCAACACTCAGAAACTATACGTGGAGTCTCTAAACGGTTGGCTCTCAAGATGTCTTCACTACGAACCTGAGTCAACAGAGGACGGTGTAGCCCCCTTCTCTCCAAGCCGTGTTGGAGCTCCACACGTGTTCGTTATCTGCAAAGACTGGCAAGAAGCAATGCAGAGAATCTCAGGAGATAACGTCACAAACGCCATGGAAGGCTTTGCAACGAGTTTACATGAGCTGTGGGAGAGACAAGACGAGGAGCAAAGGCAGAGAGTGAAAGCAGAGTACGTCTCTCATGATTTCGAGAAACGGTTGAATGATCTTAGGATGGAGAGGGCGAGGGTGAGGATGAGAAACGAGCAGTTACAAGACGGTGGTGCCTCGGAGAGAAGCGTGGTCTTGTCTGAGAGTGGGGTCTCGGCGCTGGATGATTTGAAGGTGGATTTGGATTCGATGAGGAAGAAGCTAGAAGAAGAGAGGGAGAGGCATAAGGAAACGATAAAACTAGTGAACAATGCAGCTTCGAGTAGCTTACAGTCTGGTTTAGTGCCAATCTTTGAGGCTTTAGGGAATTTCACATCACAAGTTGTGAAAGCTCATGAACATGTTAGGTTTCAGCCTCAGCCTTCTTCTTCATGAAAAGGCTTGAGGGGTTTAATTTTGCATCAGAAAAAAATTTTGGTAATGGAAAAATTAGATTCGGCTTAGAAAAAATTGTTTGTATATGTTTTATCTCCATTAATTAAATATTCATTGATTGGTTGATTTTACTTGCTTTTAGATTCTCTTTTAAGGTCTCACTAGGATTAGACCCGCGCCTTGCGCGGAATGAGATGATTAAATTTGTTGTATTTTTTGAAGATAAGAAGACATTATATCTGTTTTATTTGCATATTAGTTTGTTTTGGATTGGTTGTTTCGGGTTTTAATATCGTCCAATTATATATCTATATTATAAATATTGTCTTTTAGGTTAAATTGCGATTTTGTCTCATATATCTGTTTTTTTTGTCATCACACAATATGGAAACACGTAAGATGAAAGTATATTGCTGTCAATACCATTAAGAGTATTGAGACAATCCCAAATCTTCTTTTAGTCTCGAGATGGGTTGTGAAAAGGCTCATTTCGAGAAGCAAATTCTCGACTTGTATAACGAAATCTCCAATCTCAAGAGTCCTTAAACCTTTCACATATATATATCGACAATTTGTTCAATAGCTCATGTCCACGTCCTTGCCTATGGATAAAAAAATCGACGTTAAAAATTTGTGCCCAAAAGTCCAAAACTACAGAACCAATCTCACCAACCAACGTAGTGAAGATATAGAGTTTTCAGAGCACCACTACTATACGGCCTTGGGATCTCTCGAAGACAACACATTTCACCATTTAGATCTATCCTCAGTACACTAACTACCTCAAACTTAGCAAGGTTGAGTTCAATCTCTTCATGCTACACACGAGCCATGTCAAAACCAAGATCGCGTTCATGGGCTCTGGTACGTTGCCCTTCACATCCATCATCTTAGATACGTCCCACCGCCCTAATAACGACGTTCCAGAACTTTGACATCGACCCTCAAGCCAATTCACTTGCCTCCGAACTTGTCTCATGCGATATTGAACTTTGTAGTTTTAAAGTATCTCGTGTGCTTTATAATTGAAGTAAATAAGGTAAACAATTGTTGAAGTAAATAAGGTAATATATTGTGAGAAGATAGTAAATAAGGTAATAAATTGTGAGATAAGGTAATAAATTGTGAGAAGGTGGTGTGAAAACATTTAATGCAAAATGTTTCTCTTTTAATATATAAGGGATGCTTACGTTCTCATCGATTAGAACCATCTCAATTGTTTCTCCACCGGCTTAAGAATACTGCTTCCACAAACGAATGATCTTTACCCTAATCTTCCACATAGACTTGAACGGTTTCAAATCTGACACAGCAGTAAACGCAGCCATTACAGAAAGATGAGTGAACAATAACTGGGTTTTCGTTTAGGTTATGAGTCCTAATGTGCAGAAGAGCGTTTATTATATAGGGGATAATCAACCTAATGGACTTGCCGCACAAGATAATTAAATGTAAAGATCCTTGCCTTGGTGAGTAATTTACTTCGACCACAAGAATGTAAATATTGCCTTAAACAAAACTTTTTACATAAATGAAAATGCTTGCCTTGGTGAGTAATTTACTTCGACCACAAGAATGTAAATATTGCCATAAACAAAACTTTTTACATAAATGAGAATGACCTATCGTCATTAATAACCCTTGCCAAACACTCATATACTGCAAACCAAAATTGAAACATTAACCGTTTTAATTCAAAGAAGCGGTTTAACCAAAAAAAAAGGAGTTCTCGGTTTAACCAAAAAAAAGGAGTTCTCGGTTTAAACAAACTCATCCCTTACATATTCGGAAGTTCATGCTACGTACACGAAAATTGCATTTTATATATTTCCAGTCAAGATAAGTGAAACAGGTCACATTGTTGAAGACGAAGATCGTTAGTGTTTGAACTACAACCATCAATCAACTCCCTTATATGACTAATAGATTTATGTTGTCTCTTAACTACAACCATCGACATTTTATATATTTCCAGTCAAGATAAGTGAAATAGGTCACATTTTATATATTTCTTCATCGTCTCTAAGATTCTTATCACTTCCTTGTCTCCATACTGTTCTCAAACGCAACAAAATTTTTGTACAGCTCATCTCCTCTTCCGACACGATGTCTACAAACTTGTAGATAGCCCTAACACGTTCCACTTCCTTGCAACGTTCTTCAAACTCAGCAAAGTTGACAGAGAGTTGTTCTTCATCAGCAGCTCTAAGATTCTTAACTGTACGTTCAAGTACACGACCCTCGTACCGTCGTACGTGCAACTTCACCTCCCTTAACCTCAACCTATGCGTATTGGATGTAAGAAGAAGGTTTCAGATGACTAAAATATCACATCATGAAACCGGTATGAACACATCGATGCTTCTAATCGATTTTTCTTTTATGAAGTCAACATGTGAACATCTTTTCTTCTGAATATTATATATTTCTTCATCGTCTCTAAGATTCTTATCACTTCCTTGTCTCCATACTGTTCTGAAACGCAACAAAAATTTTGTACAACTCATCTCCTCTTCCGACACGATGTCTACAAACTTGTAGATAGCCCTAACACGTTCCACTTCCTTGCAACGTTCTTCAAACTCAGCAAAGGCTACAGAGAGTTGTTCTTCATCAGCAGCTCTAAGATTCTTAACTGTACGTTCAAGTACACGACCCTCGTACCGTCGTACGTGCAACTTCACCTCCCTTAACCTCAACCTATGCGTATTGGATGTAAGAAGAAGGTTTCAGATGACTAAAATATCACATCATGCAACCGGTATGAACACATCGATGCTTCTCTTCGATTTTTCTTTTATGAAATCAACATGTGAACATCTTTTCATGAACCTCTACGTGCAAGAGACATCGAGTTAGTCTCTGGGTTTTAAACGACTTATGGTTTATGGCCTTCTCTCATCCTGAGTTTTTTTCAAGTGTATAAACAAATATATAATACAAACTAATTCTCGTCATAGTGTTTGTCGAAAGTGTTCTCGTCATAGTGCCTCCGAACTTGTCGTAATTCTCGTTTTTTTTGTAGTTTTAAAGTGTCTCATGTGTTTTAAATAAGGAAATAAATTGTGAGAATGCTGTAAATAATGTAATAACTTGTGAGAATGTGGTGTGAAAACATTTAATGCAAAATGCTTCTCTTTTAATATATAAGGGATATAGTTAGATGTGGTTTAGTCTTAACAGAATACTAGGTGATTTCCCGTGCTCATGCACGGGTATGAATATTCATAAAAGTAAAACTTTATAATAATTGATTGATATTTAGTTTTAGTTTTGAATAAATTTGTATGTATAATTTATATTAATAAATATTATATTATTCTATACATATGACTTTGGATATATTATTGTTTGTTTAATTATTTTTTGGATCAGTACTCGGTATTGTTATCAATTTGGTATATTGGATAATATCTATTTTTCGAATTCAGCTATAATATTTTAATTCTAAATATAATAAAACTTTGATTAATTTCTTATTTTCATTTCCGTTGGTGTTGTATTAGATATGTAAATATATTCGTAGATATGTAAATATAGTATAGTTAAATTATGTATAACTTAATATATATTGTGCTTAAAATGAAATAAATAATAAGTGTAAATGTTTGATTCAAAATTACATAAATGAATATAATGATAATATTTTGAAGTATCATGAATATATAAATTCTACAAAAGAATTAAATTGTAATTGGTTAATATTTTATTTTTGTTTTTAATATGCTTTGAGTCAACCTCTAATTTATATGTATAAAATTAAATAGATTATTATTATTATTGTTATTATTATTATTATATTATTATTATTATTATAAAATTATATGTTCTTACTGTAGTTAGATGTTTAATTTTGGATANTTTTTATTTTAGTTAAGTCAAATCAAATTAGTTTTATTTATCGCTTAAATATACATGCATTTTCATAATGTTTATTTACTCTTTATTTTAGTTAAGTCAAATTAGTTTTATATATCGCTTAAATATACATGTATTTTCATAATATTTATCAAATTATATGTTGATTTCTAAAAAATATTAGAAAATAAAGTGTAACTGATAAATTTTTGAATGCTCATGAACAGATATATTTTTATTATTTTGAAAATATAATTTATGTTATTTAAAAATATATATTAATGTGGGTATTATTATTTTTTGAACTTTCCTTTTTAATAAAGTCATATTATATGCATATATTTTCGTTTTTATATTTGTTTTACAATTTTAGAAATATTTCCTTTTTTATTTTATATGTTATTTGGAAAAAAGATAAAAAGGAAATTAAATAAAAAATAATAATCTTATATATTAAAACAGAAGTCATGACTTAACTTCATGTATGATTTTTTTTTAAAATATATTATTACTAGAAAGTTATGTTACATTAACTCTCTAATAATCTTATCATTATTATATCTTATGAAAAATCATATCTATAATAACAAAGATACGCTTAACAATTTGGTTTTGGTAAATTACCCCACACCTTCCAACTTAGTCACGCAAAATATGTCAATAGATATAAGTTTAGGAATCTTCTATTATTTATAAGGAAATCTGTCAATAATAGTTAAATGCATCCATCTATTATATTAAAACAGAAGTCATAACTTATTTTATGTGTTATATTTTAAAATGGACCATCTACTAAAATTTATCACATAACATTATTCAGTCATTAATTAATAACCTTAAAATTAGTACCTATAATTTTGGGATTTTGAGCTTACCAAATTTTTTTATTGGACTAACAACAATTGGATAACCCATTAAATTTATAGATAGTAAAATAAAACACATGTTTAAATTAAATAGATATATAATTTAGTGTTGTAAAGTATACCTTCATAACTTAATTATTCATATATTTGTCGATGTTAATTTTCAAAATCATATAGTTTATTTTTTAAAATAACAGAAATAATCATTTTCTAACATTGATTAAT